TTACTTTTGGAACTAGAAATTTATCAACTGAAGTCAGATTATTTATTTTTTTAACTAAAGGAATCAAGTTATTAATAATTTGAAAAATGGCTACTATGTAGTATATAGAATAATATAATACCCCTACCTAAATCAGTATCATTGCAGACACCATAATAAAGATTTATTTATAATAAAAGATTTATTTGTCATATTATGTGACAAATCCTATTAAGGAAATCTCCATACTGGGATTGTGTTCTGCTTGTAACTTTTCATGGTTATGCACCAATTAAATCTCTAATACTTTGTTTCGCTCTTTCACACTTCAGTCTTCTCCCTCTTTCCTTTGCCCTTAAAACTAGAGTGACCATTATTCTTCAGTCTTTCTACATATTGTACAATGAAGAGATAAGAAAGTGCCACCTACTCGGGTTGGCTATCTAGGCAGACCATTTTTCTTTAGAGCGTCCAAAATAGCTAAACAATTTATCATTTCTTCTTCATAAATCACTGTGGATCTTTATCTCAAGTTGATATGTGAAGCTAAAAATAAATTCTTGTTGTAGCATCCATGTTCTTATCTACTCACAAAGCTCTGGGGAGTCTTATAAAAGTGTGTGTGTGTGTGTGTGTGTGTGTGTGTGTGTGTGTGTGTACAATTTGAATATCACAATTAGAATAGTAATTACAATTAAAATATCTTCTGCTTTTTTATTAAATTTATTGGGGTGATGTTAGTTAGTAAAATTATATAGCTTTCAAAGTGTACATTTCTATAATACATCATCTCTAAATCACATTGTGTATTCACCACCCAGAGTCAGTTCTCCTTCCGTCACCATATATTTGACCCCGTTTACCCTGTAATACCATCCCTCCTGCCCCCTTTCCCTCTGATAACCACTAAACTGTTGTGTGTCTATGAGGTTTTGCTTGTTTGTTTGGCTTGTTCATTTGTTGCTTTCAGTTTTATATACCACATATGAATGAAATCACATGGTTCTTTACTTTTTCTGTCTGACTTATTTTGCTTAGCATAATAATCTCAAGATGCATCCACATTGTCGCAAATGGCAGTATTTCATATTTTCTTATGGCACAGTAGTAGTATTCCATTGTGTATATATACCACATCATCTTTATCCAATCATCTATCAAAGGACATTTTGATTATTTCCATGTCTTGGACACCATAAGTAATGCTGCAGTGAACATCTTTATGGGCAAATGTTTTCAGATTTGGGGGGTTAAATACCCAGGAGAGGGATTGCTGTGTCATATGGTAATTGTATTCTTAATTTTTTGAGGAACCTCCACACTGTTATGTGTGGAGGAACCTCCATAGCGACTGCACCGATCTGCATTCCCACCAGCAGTGTATAAGGGTTCCTTTTTCTCCACAACCTCCCCAACACTTGTTATTATTTGTCTTGTTGCTGATAGCCATTCTAACTGGTGTGAGGTGATATCTCATTGTGGTTTTTATTTGCACTTCTCTGCTTCTAAAGTCAAACCAGAAGGTGGCAAGTTTTCTTCAGTGCAACTTGACGTAGTCAGAACTATAGATTGGCCAAACAGTTCTCTCTCTCTGAACCTTAGGCTGGCCTCTCTTGGAGCAGAACACACTGCTGGTCACGACATGTTGTCAGGGCTGACCTGGCATAGAGGTGTTGAACTTTAGCTGCCCTCTACCGTGGTCAGAGAGCCTCACACCAGGGGCAAGTGGCTCTCAGGACTCAAATATGTATTTTTCTGTCTTGCTCTCTTTGTTTGAAAAAAAATATGAGGATTCTATAATATTGCATCACTTTTAACATTTGCAAGTTGTTAATTGCTTTAGTCATTATCAATGTTACATTTGTGCAGCTTTGAGAGTTACGGGTGTACTCTACATACTTAATTTCATTTAATCCTCACCACTGCCCTAGGAAGTAGGCCTCAATATTCTTTACATGGTCTCCTTTATTAGGGAGACTGAGACCCAGAGAAATGAAGTGAAATACCCAAGGTTACACAGCTAGTGGCGGGGCTAAATCCCAGGCTTCCCAAGTCCTTGGTGAGTGTCCTTTCTATAACGTGATAGTCAGAGTATAACTCTACAATCTCAGTCAGCCAAATTCAGTGGTATTTGACAGGCTTTCCAAAGACTGAGGAGTGGGGACCTTCGAACTTTCATTCCAGCAGACAATGTGATCACTGCGCAAATTATTAAAACTAGAAAAGGGGCTAATGGTGCCATGTCCTGGATCTAGCTCCACATAACTAAGTGATGACTAGTATGGGCTTTTTAATACCTGGTTGACACATCAACATGAACTAGTGTAAACAGTACAGTATATAAAGAATTCATGTTGTGATTTATGAGGATTGAAGACTATATGTTATACTGCGTTTGCTGAGACTTAGAGAGCTTTCCAAAGATAATATTTTCTGAAAGATATACGTTTGAACTTGAACTCAGCCTGGGGTTATCTGTTTCAAGACCAGAAGTTTGCTTAAAGAAGAAATGTTTATTATGTCCTCAAACTGATTAGATATGTGGTAGAAGGCTTGAAGTAACTCATTTTCAGAAAGAGAGAGAGAGAGAGATTTTTGTGGCATTAATCAAGTCTCTAACTGTAATAAATATGTATAAGTACATATGTAAGTAAGAGGGGTGCTTCTCTTCCCCCAAAGACCTTTGCCTTTGGTTCTTTCTTTCTTTCCTTTCTTTCTTTCTTTCTTTCTTTCTTTCTTTCTTTCTTTCTTTCTTTCAATATGTTTGAACGGATTTCAGAGCATGCTGCTTCTCAGAACTGGGGGCCCATCAGCACCCTCCTAAGAATATGTATAGTTTTCTCTTTAAATAAGAATGACTAGAAAATCCTTTCTAAAATGTGCTTCTTTTCTGAATTACTGTGGTAAGTGGGCAGTCCAGTGCAAACACTGCAGAGCGCGTGTTACTGGAGGCTGTGGTGTCTGGGAGGCATGGCGGGCGCCTCCGAGGAGGGAGAGTAGAAAATGTGTCCCTCTCAGAGGGTTTATTTCCATCAAAATGACATTAAAACCAATACTGCTGAATACCACTTACATCTTTATTTGTTTCCCTTTTCTCTTTTTTTTCATCTAATTTTTAAAATTAAATTTATTGGGGTGACAGTGGTCTAACAGGAATATATCTCTTTTATATACATGTTCAGTGTAGTAACTTTGATTTACAAAAGTTATTGAACACACAGATGAGACCCAAAATTACCTCTAGAACCTGTGAAAACATGTAGTTTTCATTTAAAAAAGTTTAGGGGCTGTGCAGTATTGGAAAGCTTAGTTTCAATTGACACCAGGAAGTAGAA